GGGGGGGAGGGGGGAGCATGTATGTAAAAAACAATCTAACTGTGCACATATGAGATGACCTCATGACAGAGACATGTGAAGCTGAGGCTAGAACTAGATAAGACTAATGCTAGTCGTAAACTAATTGTGGGTGTGTGTTATAAACCCCCGAAACATAGGGGAAAGGAGGAGGCTCATCTACATTCCCAAATAGAAATTGAAGGTAAGCAGGGAAATGTTGTTATAATGGGTGACTTCAATTATCCAGACATTGATTGGTCAAATGGAACCGCCCATTCTATTAAGGCTGGCCGTTTTCTGAACCTGTTACGTGACAATTTCATGGATCAGATGGTTGATGTCCCAACCAGGAAGAATGCAATACTAGATCTATTAATTTCCAATAATGCTGACTTAGTTGCAGACATAGTGATTAGGGATACATTGGGTAATAGTGATCACAGGGTGATTACTTTTAATGTTGGGTGCAGAAAAGAGAAGTGTGTTGGTTTGACAAGAACACAAAATTTCAAAAAGGCAAACTTTGATAAGCTGCATCATCTAGTATATGACACTAAATGGGACAAATTATTTCTCACAATGAACACTGATGAGAAGTGCGATAGTTTTAAGAGTACATTACACAATGCTATTACCATATGCATACCATTGGGGAACAAAAATAAAAGATCAAAAACTAAGCCTGCATGGTTAAATAAAATGGTAAGATAACACATCAAAGAAAATAAGCTGGCATTTAAAGGAGAACTATGGGGTCAGTGTCTTTGCCCATAGTTCTCCTTAGGGTAACGGGAGGACACAAACTAGCGTCCTCCCGTTACCCTTAGCTCAGTATACCGCGAGCTACAGCTCGCGGTATACTGAGACGCCGGAGCGGATCCCGACGTAGATGACGGGATCCACCCAGCTGCGTGAGTGACAGCTGGCTCTACCTATCCAGAGGCAGAGCCAGCTGTACCCACCCCCTCCCCCGTCCGTTCCGCCAGTCAGCGCTGGCAGATCGGAGAGGGGAATCCAGCCCTCCCCCTGTCACGGCAGAGAGCCGTGACAGGATCGAGAGGTGAGCGAACCCGGTATGTGTTCGCTCACCTCCCGATCTACTGAGCCGACCTGTGACAGTCTCATTGTCACAGGTCGGCTAGAACTATGAGGTGAGTGGAAATCACTCATCTCATAGTTCTCCTTTAAT